TGGTATCTCAAAGTTGTTTTAATTTGCATTTCCCTGATCACCCAGGAGGATGAGCATGACCTTAAGTGTCTTTTGGCCATTTGAATTTCTTCTGTTGAGAATTCTCTGTTCAGTTCAGTGCCCCATTTTTTAATTGGGTTAATTGGCATTTTAAGGACTAGTTTCTTGAGTTCTTTATATGTTTTGGAGACCAGAACTTTGTCTGTTGCAGGGTTGGTGAAGATCTTCTCCCAGTCAGTGGGTTGCCTTTTTGTCTTAGTGACAGTGTCTTTTGCTTTACAGAAGCTTCTCAGTTTCAGGAGGTCCCATTTATTCAATGTTGTCCGTAATGTCCGTGCTGCTGGGGATATATGTAGGAAGTGATCTCCTGTGCCCATATGGTGTAGAGTACTTCCCACTTTCTTTTCTATCAGGTTCAGTGTGTTCAGCCTGATATTGAGGTCTTTAATCCATTTTGACTTGAGTTTTGTGCATGGCGATAGATATGGATCTATTTTCATTCTTCTACAGGTTGACAACCATTTCTGCCAAAACCATTTGTTGAAGATGCTATCTTTCTTTTATTGAATACTTTTAGCTCCTTTATCAAAAATCAGGTGTTCATAGGTTTGTGGGTTAAAATCTGGGTCTTCTACTCTATTCCATTAATCGACTTCTCTGTTTTTATGCCAATACCAAGCTGTTTCCAATACTGAAGCTCTGTATCAGAGTTTGAAGTCAGGGATGGTAATGCCTCCAGATGTTCCTTTATTGTATAAGATTGTTTTGGCTATCCTGGGTTATTTGTTTTTCCATATAAAGTTGATTAATGTCCTCTCAAGATCTGTGAAGAATTTCGATGGGATTTTAATGGGGATTGCATTGAATCTATAAATTGCCCTTGGTAAAATTGCCATTTTTACTATGTTGATCCTCCCAATCCAAGAGCAAAGGAGACCCTCCATTTTCTGGTATCCTCCTCAATTTCTTTCTTCAAGGACTTAAAGTTCTTTTCAAATAGATGCTTCACATCCTTGGTTAGAATTACCCCAAGATATTTTATTTTATTTGTGGCTATCATGAAAGGTGATGCTTCTCTGATTTCCCTCTCTGCTTCCTTATCCTTTGTGTATAGGAAGGCAACTGATTTTGGAATTGATCTTGTATCCTGCCACACCAATAAAGGTGTTTATCAGCTGTAGGAGTACTTTGCTGGAGTTTTTGGGGTTGTTCATGAACACCATCTTATCATCTGCAAATAATGAAAGTTTAACTTTTTCCTTTCCAATCTGAATCCCTTTGATCCCCTTATGTTGTCATATTGCTATTGGTAGAACTTCAAGCACTATATTGAAAAGGTATGGAGAGAGTGAACAGCATTGTTGTGTTCCTTATTTTAGTGGGATTGCTTTGTGTTTCTCTCCATTTAATTTGATGTTAGCTGTCAGCTTGCTATAAATGGCTTTTATTATAGTTAGGTATGACCCTTGTATCCCTAATCTCTCCAAGACCTTTATCATTAAGGGATGTTCAATTTTGTCAAATGCTTTTTCAGCATCTAATAAAATGATCATATGTTTTTTTTTTCTCTCAGTTTATTAATATGATGGATTACATTGATAGATTTTATTATGTTGAACCAGCCCTGCATCCCTTGAATGTAGCCTACTTGATCATAATGGATAATTTTTCTAATGTGTTCTTGAATTCGGTTTGACAGTATTTTATTGAGGATTTTCACATCGATGTTTATGAGTGAGACTGGCCTGTAATTCTCTTTCTTGGTTGAGTCTTTGTGTGGTTTTGTTATCAGGGTAACTGTACCTTCATAAAAGGAATTTGGCAATGACTATTCTGTTTCTATATTGGGAAATACCTTAAGGAGTATAGGGATTAGGTCTTCTTGGAAGTTCTGGTAGGATTCTGCATTGAAACTGTCTGGACCTGGGCTTTTTTTGGTAGGGAGGTTTTTTATAACAACTTCTAATTCGTCGCGACTAACAGGTCTATTGAGATTGTTCACCTGGTCCTGGTCTAATTTTGGTATATGGTACTTATCTAAAAAAGTGTCCATTTCTTTAACATTTTCCAATTTTGTGTCATATAGGGTTTTGTAGTAAGATCTAATGATTTTCTGAATATCTTCTGTGTCTGTGGTTATGTTTTTTCTTTAATTTCTGATCTTTTTAATTTGTGTATTCTCTCTCCACCGTTTGATTAGTTTGGATAGGGGTTTATCAATCTTGTTGATTTTCTCCAAGAACCAGCTTTTTGTTTCATGATTCTTTGGATTGTGTTCTGTGTTTCTATTTTGTTGATTTCAGCCCTCAGTTTGATTATTTCCAGTCTTCTACTCCTCCTAGGTGAGTCTGCTTCTTTTTTTTTCTAGAGCTTTCAGGTGGGCAGTTAAGTCTCCTATGTGTGCTTTCTCCGTTTTCTTTAAGTGGGCACTTAGTGCTATGAACTTTCCTCTTAGCACTACTTTCATAGTGTCCCATAGGTTTGAGTATGTTGTCTCTTTATTTTCATTGAATTCAAGAAAGTTTTTGATTTCTTTCTTTATTTCTTCCTTAATCCAGGTTTGGTTCAGTAGTTAACTGTCCAGTTTCCATGAGTTCATAGGCTTTCTAGGGGTAGCATTGTTGTTGAATTCTAACTTTAACCCATGGTGATCCAATAAGACACAGGTGGTTATTAATATTTTTTGTAACTGTGTAAGTTTGCTTTGTTACCGAGTATGTGGTCTCCGATGATCCTACAGAGCATGAACAATGAGAGAAACAACCTGCTCTTCCTGAACTTGGCCAACATTGTGGAATTTTGGGCCCCTAACTACAATGTACTAATTTCAGCATGAAGTAGGGAGTTGAGTTCATTGCACCTTGTCATTCATTTATTTTCAACAAAATTCTGGAAAATTAATTTCTTAACCTGGGACATATGGCTGAAGTACCTATTTAATATATTCTCTAAAAGAAATTACTAAGGTTCTAAGTAGGTCTAAACCACTTACAGTTGCTTTAATTTGGGCATTACTATGCTCATTACTATTGTAAGAACTGCTTTAGTACAACAGGTTCATACTACAGAGCATGTTAATTGCCTCTCAAAATATGTTATCCAAAAACTGCTAAAAATCTAGAATATATCCACTTCCAGGATCATATCAGTGCTTTGGAAGAAGCTGTTCTTCTACAGATAATCAGTTACACAATATTAATCTTAGCCTTAGTGTTCAGTGTCATTCTACATTTACATGGATTTGTGTAAACAATCTTCCATATGATGAGACAGAATATGATTGTGGTCTAGTTCAGGCACATTTATAGGATAATTGGAATATTTCTGCTTTAGCTATGGACATAGATTCTTCCCTTCACCAAAAATTCTCTGACAGGTGTAGGAAGAGAGAGCTGCTTTTTGGTTCCTGGCCACTTAGCCCCAAAATAACCATGGAGAAACAGTATTAATTAAATCACTTCTTGGTTCATTAGCTCTACAGTTTTATTTGGTAACTCTTACAACTTAATTTAATCCATCTTCATTAATCAGTGCATCACCACTTAGTTGTGGCTTACCATCAGAGTTTCAGCACATATGTCTCTGGCAGCAGCTCTGTTGCTTCTCTCTCACTCCATTTCCTTTCTCCCAGAATTCCATTTAGTTTTCCCCACCTAGCTCTGTCCCCCTAAAGCTTGCTATAGGCCCAAACAGTTCCTTTTTAACCACTGATATTCACAGCATACATAGGGGAATCCCACATCAGACAGGTTTACTCTGTACAAAAATTATGACTATCTCTTTTTTTTCATTGTCTAAGCTGATATTAAATAGATGTTTCAAGAATGAATGGTGAGCTGAGTCTCAGTTGATTTGCAGATCCCCATAAAAGCCAATATTTTCTTTGCTGTTGTTTGATATAGATCTAGCAATGAACACTGATATGAAATGAATTGATAGAGAGCACAGCTCATTGATGTCAGTATAGTTCTATGTCCTATAAATGTTTGAGACTATGGGGAGGGTTTCTAAGACTTGGAAGGAAGTAAATATGGGACCAGGGAATAATGTGTGATCTCAGAACCTACCTCAATTAACATCTATATACATTTATTTAATGATTTTGTGAAAAATATTTTAATCATACTCTTGACAATCTTAGAGGAATTATACTTATATGGCAGTGCATATTGTTACATATTTTATATTCTAAGAGACTGGAACTTCTGTTGGACCACATAGCCAGAGTTAACTATAAAACTGAACTTATACACTGTCTAAATCACTGTCAGATGATTTAGGCCATCACTTTGTCATGATAAGCACTCTGAGAAGACTGATTCTAACCATGTTCTGGGCACTCCTATGTTATGGTCAAAACCCTGGTGTGTCCAGTAATAGATGGACAATGACAGCATCTCCAGGATAGTGGGCTGCTTTGGCCAGTAAAAGCTCTAGTCATCCTAGCCTGTGGACTTGAATTTCATCCCATGGGAGAAGAAAAGTGACAACTGAACTTGTCCTCTGACTGACCCATACCATCAGATGGGCACGCCCCACACCACAAGTAATAAAAATGTTTTCAATTATAAAAAAAAGTGAATTTATATAACATTTAAAACTCCAAAGGAGTTTTGTTTTCTCAGATGTTATTGTTTGGACATACTGCTCAAATTCATATTTTAGTTTATTAAAATAGACCACCAAAATGTTCTAATCTCATAGAATTCAGAGATGGGTATTTTTATCACACTTCATATCACATTTTTTACTTTACATTATTTTCTTAATGAAGAAACATGTCAATGGCTGTGGTCATTGATGAAGCTATTGTCACGGTATGTTGTATACATCCTAAATCAGTATTGCTTCATTTACATATGTAATTTTGAAAAGTTGTTACAAAAGTAACAGACAAAACAATACTCATAATGTCTGTTTCTGTAAATGTCTTAAGGCTAATCTTCTCTGTCATCTCAGTCTCAGAACAACTTCCTGCTCATCCAGGGCTTTTGCCACACTCAGGATGTGGTTGTAACACTGTGTCTTGCACAGAAATAGACTGCAGTGTCTTCAGATGTCAGACTGCTGAGCTCCATGTAGGCAGTGCTGGAGGATTTGTCTGCAGTCAGTTTGGCCTTGCCCTGGAACTTCTGATTGTAGTTAGTATTACCACTTCCAGGATAAATCCATCCAATCCACTCCAGTTCCTGACCAGGCCTCTGCTTCACCCAGCTAATATAGTTGTTAGTGAAAGTATAACCTGAAGCCTTGCAAGACAACTTCACTGAGGATCCTGGTTTCTCCAGTTCAGGCCCATACTGATGTAGTTGTACCTGGGAGAGGACACCTGTGAAGAAAAAGAGAGAGTAGATTGTCAGAGACATTGTCACCTCACTCTCTGTCTTCTCCTCAAGTTTGGAATTGGAAACCCTTTACCTGTAGTTACTGACACAAGGAAGAGAATGATACAGCTCCATCCCATGGTGTGGACCTTTTGTGCGCAGTGACTGTGGAGAAGACACTGATCATATGTTGTTCTGGGGTTTTGACATCCCTGTATTTACCAAAATATTCTAGGTAATTTGCATATTCAAGAACAGGAAACTTCTTAAATAAGGACCTAGTCCAATTTGAGAAGGAGGTGGGGGACACTTGAGTAAAGCAACAGGATGGCGACATTTAAGTCCTAATCTTATCTAAGGAAATAGATCTTATCCCATTGCCTCCGTTCTTCAGCTGTTGTGGGTGTAACATCAGGACATAAATTCTCAATAGATTTCTGGCCTGAGGCAGTTGCTCCACTTTGTGACAAGCTTTTCAGAATAATTCACAGAAGGTGGTTATGACGATAATGGTAGTGATTGAAAATTTCAAAATTTGCTAAATTTTGAGATATAACAGCCTACTTTTACATATATACTTTTAGAATTTTCCATAGAAGAAGGTTTTATACAAAAACTCGCTGAAATGACCTAAAGGAACATACTTCAGAAATGTTCGCACAGTGATGAGAAAAGTGGTATTATCAACCATAACTTACGTAAATAATCTTTATGTTTTTCAGCAGATGATTGCAGCAAGAAAATATAGCTATATATGTTACACAAAAGGAATAGGTAATCTGAAAGAATAAGAAACTTATATCACCTTTAGGAAAATCTATGTAACTGAAGGTAACTGTATTAATTAATATTATCTCTGAAACATAGATACTATATGAAACTCTAAGTAGTTTTTGTATATTGAATAAGTACACAGTACTATTTATGCAATTATCTAACAACTTAGAAATGAAACTGCCTAGCAGAATATAGCAAAAACAGGAGTGTCAAGAAAAGGAATGGTAGAAGTTATGGGAGAAATATGCAGTGTAAAATATACAGGTATGAAAATTCTAAATGTATATAAAATTATTATTTTCAATTTTCAAAAGGATTTTCTCATTCTTTGAAATTTTCAGTCAAGTTACTGTGATCATGTCTTTCCCCAACTATTTTCCTCTCACTTTCCTGTGACCTTCTAACAAGTCTCTCCTTTGTTTCATAATAACAGAGTGAGTCGAATCAGTTCTATCTATATACATTTAGGTATTCATTCCCTAGTGCTGAAGGAGTCTCTAGAAACCTTCTCAAAAGTGATTATACTTTTATCATCAGTCATCCAATGCCAATAAACCCAAAGCTTGGTGTTGGCCTGCAAAGAGTCCCTCCCCAACATATTACAATATTTGTTAAATTTTCAATTCTCTCATAAAGTATATCACAACCAAAGTTTCAATTCACCCCACTGTTTCACCCATACTTCTCCTCTCCCCCAGATGCACAACATTCTGTCTCCCTGCAGAAAAAAAAAAAAAACAAAAACAAACAAACAAAAAAAAAACAAGCATCCCTGGACCATCCATAAAATATGAATGTTACAATAAGACCAAGCACATAAAATATCATCAAGCCTGGATGAGGCAACCCAGTAAGAAGAAAAGAGTCCTGCAAGTAGGTTGAAGAATCAGACAGGCTCTGTTTCCAGTGTTAGTAATCCCAAAAGTATGCCAAGCTATTCAGTCATTACAGGTATGCAGAGGACCTAAGTCAAACCCCTACAAGATCCCTGGTTTCTAAGAACCTCCATGAGCTGTTATTTGAATCTGTAGGTGGTTATCTCTTGGTGTTTGTGGGCCCTCTGGTTTTATTAAACTTCCTCCCACTCCTCTGCAGGATTCCATGAACTACACCTAATATTTGGCTCCAAGACACTGCAGGTGGTCCCATCAGTTGCTGGATGCAGTCTCCCTGTTCTCAATGATGATGATTCTGCTAGATTCCAGTCACAGAACACTCTCCGGGCAGGAAAAACAATTGTAGGTCGATGATTTGTGGCTGGATTTTAGAACGTGCATGTTTACAGAAGATAGTCTGTTCAGGAAAATTGGTATAATATATGTAATCTATGAAGCTGACCCAAGCAAAGACTCCTAGTAATAGGTTACATGGAGTTTGAAATGACAATTTCTTAATGTATTTTTTTAAAAAATGTTAAATTGTTTTCAATAGTGAAGGCAAGGCACAAATACACCAAAGTGCATATAAGAACCTTGGAGTACAACTTATGAAATCCAATTCTCATTCATACAACATAAATACAAGTAATTCAAAAAATACTGTTATGTTTAAAAGTAGATGTCTTTACTCACTCAGCTACTTCACAGACTCTCATGCTGTAATGTTGACTGGTTTGATTTGTTGAGATCTTGTGCTGGTAACTATAGCTGTTAAGAATTTATATGTATAGTAGCTATGTCTGGTCCTGAAGACATTTCATGGCTACACACTCCGTATTCTGGTTTTTAAATTTGATCCCTTTTTTTTGTGAAGGTCCCTGAGTTTTAGGTGCAAAGTAGATACAGATGACTCATCTGTGAATGAGTACTCAGTCTTCCACTCTTAGCACCTTGACCAGGTATGAATGTCTATATTTTACCCACTGCAACACAGAAGTTCTTGTGATCATGGCTGAGAACAGGACTAATCTATTTAATAATTTTTGCTTTGGTTTGGTTTGGTTTTGCTCTCTCTCTTTCTGTGTGTAAGTGTGTGTGTGTGTGTGTGTGTGTGTGTATGCTTCTGTGATTTTCGTATTGTTTTAATCTTACTCTTTAAATCTTTTTTTCCCTTTGTTTTGTTTTGCTTATGTGTTTGCTTCTTACAGAAAAAAAGAGCTGGATGGTGGGAATATTGGACGGACTTAGGAGACGTTACAAGATGGGACTCAGTAATTAGAATATATTGTATGAAAATTTATTTTAAAATATACAAATAGCAAATGAAAACTGAATAAAATAAATAAGAAAATTTAAACATGTAAAAATTTAATAAGGAATCTTTACTGTGTGAACATGGAAACATCACATTTTAAACACAGCAGGTGCAGGTCAGTCGAAAAGTAAGTAGGATATCACAGAGGATACAGAGTCAACCTCCACAACAACATGATGTTTTTCCTATGGATTCTTGACACCATTGTGCCCCCTTCTGGTTCTGAGGTCAACTGCATTTTGATTTGTCATTGCTTACACTAAAATTGCACAGTCTCCCTTGAGCAGCAACATATCCCTGCAACTTCAGTGCTCACGGAGCTCAGCTGCAGGGAGAAATCTCTCTAATTTCTAGGAGATGCTGACTGGATATTTCTGAGACTGGTTTTAAATTATACCTTTATGATTGTCAATGTCCCTCTCAATGCCAGAGTCTTTGTCTCTTTAATCCAAATGGGTTCACAGAGACATTCTCATCCCATAAAATATATATTCACAGATTTATGGAACCTGATATTGATGAGAGATGGTGTGAGAATCTGCTCCTAACATAATCAAATGTGTGTATTGCAATATGTGCTGATCTGATGCAATGTTGTTGAAATATGCAAGAGTTTCCAAAAGTGCATGCACACATCTGGAGGCAGGGAGTGCTCTTTTGTGTCCCAATCAGTCAGACCTGAATAATCACACAGAAACTATATTAATTATAGCACTGTTTGGTCAATGACTCAGGCATATTTCTCCCTATCTCTTATATCATGAATTAACCCATTTCTATTCATCTATGCATTACCACATTGCTGTGGCTACCAGATAAGGTTCTGGCTGGTGGGTTTCTATATTGGCAGCTACATGATGTCTCTTTGACTCTGCCTGCTATCTCTATATATCTCTTCTAGCCTGACTATATTCTGCCCTGTTATGGAGTGAAGAAGTTTCTATATTAGCCAATGGTAATAAAACATATTCATAACACACAGAGGGGAATCCCACATCATCTCCTCTTTTCTGACTTAAAGATATATATTAATTTTAATATAATGAAATTACATATACAAAACAGTTATCAAGCATGAATTATAGTTACAATATTTCTTTGTGAATTTAAAGTGTTGTATTTATCTTTTATCATAACCAAGAAAAACATTAATTATAATTATTTCTCTTCAACTCTATGAAAGACCCCAGAAGGATATAATATTACCTATGTAAACAGGAAGTATATTTAAGCAACTTCCAAAGATCTAGAGTTAACAGAGACATCTCACTGCCTGGACAGTCACCCAAAGTTCTTTTGCAACATTGGGCCATCCATCTTCATCCTATAGGACCATAGTATGCAGTAGACTTTTCCATGAAGCAGGAATTTTGAAGATCTTTTCTGCCTTGTAATGACAAAGTACATCAGTTGGCTTCTTCTGTGGTCTGCAGAATTTCTGACAGACTCTTTCATGAAACAAGAATTCTGAAGGACTCTCTCAATGTTAGGCAAGTTTAACAGTCATTTCTCTGTGGGTCATGCATGCCCAGTTCATAAAGCATAGCCTCAAGCAGTTCAGGCAAGATAAGTTTCTAGCCCAAATGGCTATCCCTGTCACATTAAAGCAAATACCATAACAAGTTTCTTCAATGCCCATTAACCTCTCTGAAATAATTGGTGCTGCCAGTATTCCCATGTCTCAATGTTGAGAAAAGTCAAAGTTCTTAAAACATTTAAATGCCATGTTCTATAGGTCTTTGAAGTGTTGTAGATTATCTAACTGAAATATATCTCTGTATATCTGGAAAACCTAACTAACGTGACTGCAACTTTGATTATTATAAATGACTATTACTCTGTAGTTTTCAAGTATACATACTTTAAAATGAGCTGCACAAACACAAAACATTACAAGAGCAGAAATACATATACACAGTTTAACAAAATTGACTTACGTTTAATCAGTAGACCAAGATCCATATCAATGTAAATTATTTATTTCTATATCATATACCCTTTTACAAAAAGAGATTGACTCTAATGATTAGTGATTTATCCTTAACCCCACTGAAAGGAAAACAAACATTTATAAATAATAACTTTGGCAATTTAGTCATAGTTTTCTCCAAACTGCTTCCTGACATTTGCTGGGCAAAGTATTTTTATGGTTCATACAGAATTTTCAAGGGGTCTTAGTCCATCAAATCATGTTAGCCTA